AAGAATTGGTTTGTCTGGTACACCATTGAGCAAAACAGAGGAGAATCTGATAAACCCTTGGCCCTGAGTATGTTCAAAATGGTGCTATGGTCAATCATGTCACAAGCCTTGGCAAAGTCCAGCTTGAGAAGAGTGATTTCCTTTTTGGATGTGTGACATTGGTAAAAGTACTCAAAGGCCCACCCCAAGCACTCCTGGACTGATATGTCCTTTAATAAACCATATTGATTAACATTGACAAGTTTGAGTATGACCTTTATTGGCCAATGATGATCCTTACTGTATAGTTTAGGAAAGAGATAGGTGTGAAATCCTCTGGTACCAAAGGTGAGTCTTTCTTAGGAATGAGAGTGATGTAGGAAGGTTGATGCTTTGCGGGTTGATATTACCATGATACAAATCTTGATCGGTTTATAAAAGTCCTGCCACATGATGCTCCAACAAGATTTAATAAAAGCTCCACTTAAGCCATCCGGCCCAGGTGCCTTATCAGTACACATCTCTTTTATTAGAACATCAGTTCAATCCTTATATAAAGGCTCTTCCATAGCTTGCAGAAAGGTGTTATGTTGCAAAAGCTCAGTGGAATTTAGAAGGGGGCATGTGGGGACGGAACAACTCAATCTTTGTTTGAAAGCTCTCCACATAGTTGCAGTTTTGGCCTAATGGTCAGACTGCTCATTTCCTTGCTCATGTTGTAGAACAAAGATATGATTATGCATATACTTAGTGGTTGATTTTGCCTAAAGAATTTTGTGTTACCATCACCAAATTTGACCCATCTCACTATTGCCCACTGTTTTCCAATAGATGCTCTATAAAGCGGAATTTTGAGGAGGTGCTCCTTGATGATAACTCATTCCACACCTCAATTGATAGAGGTATGTACTCTTCCAAAGTGTCATTCAGAAATACATATACTTCTAATTGTAATCTTAATTTAATCCACTTATATATAAAGAATATCAAGATTCAATCATAACACCAAAATAAATTGTAGACTTGTCATGAAAACTATATAACCAGTGATGCATGTAAAAGGCAATAATGGTCAAAGATGGTGCTCTTATCATAATCAGGGGATTGGAGTTTTTAATGGTGGTAGAAAGATTTGACAAATTCCTAGACTAGTTTTTCAGACTTTTCCTTAGCCTCTTGAATTTGTCAGTGATAATTTTTGCAAAGCCAGTTTCTTGAACTTGTTGTTCCCAAATCTTTTGGACTGCCTCCTTGAAATCATGGTGTTCTAACCAAAAAAATTCAAACTTGAAAAGTTTTGATTTTGGATGGGAGTGCCAATTTGAACAACACAAGGGGTATGATCCTAAATGGTTCTCAACAGAGGGAAACCATGGTATATGTTCAGATGTAAAGATCCAATCAAGCTTTTCCAAGAGGGGGGCTTCTTGCATACTGCATCAACTCAAATTTCTGCCTTTAAGTACCAAACCTACCTCATTAATAGCAGCATTGAAGTGAAACATGGCATTATGATCACCACCACTTAGGTTTTTGTCATGTGGATACCTGATGTAATTGAAATCCCACATGATTAACCGGATTTTATCATGTGGCATTTGAATGTTTTGAAACCAGTCAATGAATATTGCTCTATGGGCATCTTGACAAGGCCCATAAATGTTTGTTAGGATCCACTCTTGCCTAGACTTAACAGAGGTGAAACTGATGCATAAGGAAAAATTATTTTGAAAGAGGTCTTGGAACCGGTTATCATTCCAAATGACAATTAGTCCTCTAGATGCCCCCACTGAAGGCACAAACTCAAAATTGTTAAAACCTCTTGGACAAAAGTTTCTGAGATAACTACCATCAAAATTCTCCTTGTTTGTTTCTTGCAAATAGACGATTCATGAACTAGACTCATCAATTTTATTAAATAGCACTCTCCACTTATCTACTGAATTTATGCCTCAAATGTTCCAATTAAGAATTTTCCAGGTCTCATTCATTGCAACAGATGTAAGGATAAAATT